TCCCGACGTGAAAGACGCTCTATAAATGGAATCTTGTTGTTGTTGTTGCTTCTCTGGCCAATTTTGCCAGCAATTTCCTCTTCTTCTGAAGGCTGACCAACTTTCTTTTTGTAGAGTATGGCTTCACAGGTGCTCATCACTCTATGATAATCACGTCCTAATGACCACTGTTGAGGTACGAACCTTCACAGAGAATGGTGGCTAAGGGGGAAAGAGTTTTCCATGCATCAAGGCATACAAACATGCACAGGAGCCCAAGCTGATTTTCCCTTACTTGGGACAGGAAGGTTAATTGTAGCACTCCTAGCATTTAGCCAATTCAGTACAGATTGGCAATCAATTCTGGGGATAATCCTGCTCTGTGTAGTTAACTCCTTGCCATATAAACGCTTTGAGCTATCGGGGGCAGCAGTAGATGAATTTTAATATGAATAACTGCATGTTGGAAATGTAACTGGCAATCCATTCTCTCCTGTTGAAATAAACAATATGCTTTCAAAATGGAAACATTTTTGGTAATTGTGATTTTACAAATTATTGTGCTAACAAAATGATAAACCTCCACCAGCCTGGATCTGTGCCAGAACAGTTCCAAAAAAGGATTTTAATTAAAACATTTCTTGGCTGCTATTTTTCACATGTCAGAATACTCGACATCAACAAATAAAAGAAAGTAAACTTAATTTGGGTTAAGATTATATAGAGATTCAAAAGGAAAATTTATGCAAGAAATTCAATAGCAAATGGTCCCCTTCCAAGTATAACTCTTCATGGATTTTACTTGAACCTGAATTGGAGCAACATGTCAATATTCAATGAATAAATTCCTTGACACCATGTGAATGATCAGGTGAATAGTTTGTGACCAGGCTCTGCTGTTCCCCATCACCGAATGGATTGACTTCAAGATCCTCACACTCGTGTTCAAATCCATTTACTCTCTGGCACTTCCCTACCTCTCCGACCTCCTCACTTCCCAATCCACCACCCGGCACCTCTGCTCAACTGGCACGGCCTCCTGCTTACCCCTCGCACCTTCGGACCCACTATCGGAGGTCGTGCTTTCAGCCACTACGCCCCGAAATTCTGGAACACTCTCCCTCAAATCCCTCCTCCTTGCCCCCCCTCTCCCCTTTTTCAAATTCCACCTGAAAACCTTCCTCTTCGACCATGTTTACGGTCACCCCACCCCCTCTCCCACAGCTTGGAATTAGGCTTCGCCACTGTTAAGCGTGCAAGTTGTTGTTGTTGAATCTGTTTTATTTGAGCACTGTATAGCGCAATATATAACTATTTCTAAATATTAAATTAAGATTAAGAGCCCCTACAAAATGCACAGTCACTAAACTTTAAAGTAAATTGTGTGAAGCGCTGTGAGATGTGCCTTAACAATAATAATGCCATCCCCTTTTTTCTCACCTCGCTCCCTCCCGATAGAGTGCACGCTTCAGAAAGCTTGCAGACAGAAAATCGCTGTTGGGAGAACTGGAGACCCTGAAGCATGGCCTGGGCTTCCCACTCATCCCATCCTCCCAGCAGAAAGTACCCAAACTGCACACAAGGGGCACATTTTGTGATGTGCTAATTAACACCCATGTTCCAATTCATGTCACTTTTACATTATTGACTGTCTATGGAGGCAATCTTACTTCTGGAGCGAACTAGTCAAGTACAGCATGTGGCTTTACAAGCTCTGGATGTCCAGTTGTCTCTGACTTGAGGATGAAAAGTTGGAGCGAGTCGGCTGGATGACATTCTATGTCATTTTGTGTACGTATTGCGTGGACGTCAAGACATTTACACATTTCAGGACTGATGCTAGTTTTTTTTTGCTACCCCTGCTTGCCGATACACGGTAGTGGAAGAAAGCACGGTCAAAGAGATAAGTCGAGGCAGGCTTTGAAAGTGGGGAGAGAGGGGGAGATTCAGAGAGACTCTGGGATGGAGTTCTGGAGAGCGGATTCCGAATGGCTGAAAGTCTCCCCATCGATGGTGGGATAGGACGGGGGGTGGGAACATGAAGCAGGCTGGCGTTTGCTGAGTGAGAGGAGCAGCTGAGTCAATAGAGATGCACCATGTTCTGGAGGTAGGGTGGGGTCGGGCTGGTGATCTTATAACTATTGCGATGACTTGCATTTATATGATGCCTTTCATGCAGGTAGCGTCTCGGAATGCTTAACAATGACGTGGTTTGATACCGAGCCCAGGAGAAAGGGACGATCGAAGATACGGTGGAAGTGGAAAAGTCTTTAGGTGGGATGCGAAGGAGAGCAAAGAGGGGGTATGGCAGAGGGATCGAGGCAGGGAGTTCCAGAAATTGGGGGAGGAGTGGACGAAAGCACGGCCACTGACGGTGGAGCAGAGGGGGTACAGAGACATGCAGCAGACCCGAGCTGGCTGAGCAAAGGGGCGCGGGTTAGAAAAGTGAGCGGTGAGCAGGTTAGGGAAGTGGAGGGCGCGCGTGATTTGCAGATGAGAGTGAGGATCTTGAAATCCATCCCTTCTGCTTACAAGGAGCCGGGGGAGGGGGTGTGGGGGGGGAAGAGGCTGGTAAGCGCCGGGCTTATTGCAAGGCATTCGGACTTAGTCAGGGGCTGTCTGGTGTTTGGTTATCTTTGTGGACTGCAGCTTCAGTTTGCACGGAAATCGCTACTGAACAGTCGTTTCCTTTCTCGACCTCTGATCAGCAACACGCCTCGGAGCCAGTCAGTGCACAGCGCCGTACCGAGTGCGTCAACAACAACAAGATTCCATTTATAGAGCGCCTTTCACGTCGGGAGGACGTCCCAAGGCGCTGTACAGTTGGGTCAGGACCTGAGCATTGGGGGGAGGAAATGGTCAGGGGGAGGGGAGGGAAGGGAGGGAGCGAGGAGGGGGTAGAGAGTCGAGAGGGGAGCTGAAGGCTCGGTCAAAGAGAACCGTGCTGTGTACATCATTGCCGATCAGTCCCCACACCCCCTCCCCCCCTGCCCCCCCCCCCCCACCCCCCACACCACCAGCTCTGGGCCTGTGCGTGTTGGGAGTGAAATAACGTGAAGACCCCAATCCTGGGTGCAGTTTAGCAGAGGCATCTCCCCCCCCCCCACCTCCATCACCCCCCCACCCCCACACCCCCCCCCCCCCACACCCCCCCACTGTGAGCAGATACAGAGAGCGGAGTGGCGTTGCACTGGTGCAGCGCTGGAGAGAGTGAGAGCTCTCGCTCCGCCCTGCGCTTGAATCCGGCTGATGTGTGTGTGTGGGGGGGGGGGGGGGGGGGGATGCGGGAGGGGGGGGATGCGGGGAGGGGGGGGATAGAAACATAGCGGAAAAAGGGCGAGGTTGCAGTGGGCGAGGTGGGTGCAGAGAGCGAGGCCGCTGGTGGTGTGAGTGCTGCTCTGGGGGGAGAGGCAGCGCTGTCAGGCGGCGGCTCTCAGCTTTGTTACACTTCGGTCACATAGTAACCAGACGGCAGCGGCCCGGGAACAGCGGCTCAGCTCAGCCACTGATGCACAGCGCACTCACTCACTCACTCACTCACTGCAACTCACTCACTCACTCACTGCAGCACTCACTCACTCACTCACTGCAGCACTCACTCACTGCAGCACTCACTCACTGCAACTCACTCGCTCGCTGCAGCACTCACTCACTCACTCACTGCAGCACTCACTGCAGCACTCACTCACTCACTCACTGCAGCACTCACTCACTCACGCACTCACTGCAGCACACTCACTCACTCACTCACTGCAGCACAGTCACTCACTCACTCACTGCAGCACAGTCACTCACTCACTGCAGCACACTCACTCACTCACTGCAGCACACTCACTCACTCACTGCAGCTCACTCACTCACTCACGCACTCACGGCAGCACAGTCACTCACTCACTGCAGCACAGTCACTCACTCACTCACTCACTCACTCAATGCAACTCACTCGCTGCAGCTCACTCATTCATTGCAACTGACTCAGCCACTGCAACACACTCTCTCTCTCACACACACAGATATATATATATATATATATACTCACTCACGCCTCCGCAGTGAAGCGCATCAGGTAAGCCAAGAGCTGTGTTTTAACCCCCTGCAATGCACACTCTCTGACTACCTAACACATTGCTTTGGTGCTTGCACTTTTCTCCACCTTTTTTATTCTCTCTCTCTCCCTCTCTCTCTCTGTGAAATCTTATCACCTTTCCCTTCCAAGCACAGTGAGGCGTTTCCAGCAAAGCATCCGTTTCCTATAATTGCTAAACCCCCCCCATCCCCCCTCCCCCCCAAAAAAAGAAGCATTTTGAAATAGCAGGGTTGTTTAATTCAGTTTAAATGATGTGTAAATAAATAGCTGGGCGTGAAACATCTATTAGGAGGTTAGAGGGAAATAAACTATGACCCTGTGCAGTACTGTATGCACATGACATTCTGGTCAGATGGTGAGCTGTCTTGCACACATCCCTGCGCTGCTTGTCACATATTATTCCTAAGCCTGCGGGCTTTTGTAAGACACCGCGGATTATGTTGGTCACGGCTCAGCTCAGCGCTTGACATTGGATGTCTGAACGAAAGCAAAATAATGAAGGTGTCTTGGCGCAAAGTGTCGCAGTCATTCCACGTGCATTCCCTGAGATCTTTCAGTAGCTCCCTATGGAGAAATGCTGGGCTCATTCTCTCTTCTCTGACCTCCCCACCCCGCCCACCCCTCTCACATCTCTCTCCCCCTATAGCGAGCTCAGCTTTTAATTAACCAAAGCAGTTTGAGGCTCGCCGTAAGTGCACTGGCACTATTGCAGCTGTTAAGAGCAATTACACTTCCTCGTGGATACTGCTATAATATTAATATATGGCTATTGCATTTTACAGTACGGTTTGCACTGTTATAGCGCCTCTCAGGTCAGGAGGATGTCTCAGAGTGCTTCACACAGCTGATTGGGCACTCAAGCTGGTGGGTGGGTGGGAAGATGACCAAAAGCATGGTCATAAAGTGGGCATCAAAAGCGAGGAGGCACGGGTGAGGTGGAGAGACTCCGGGACTTTCCTTGAATAGTGACAGATCCACAGCTGCTGTTGATTGCCGTCAGTTAGCAAAACGGTCTGACCGGTAACAACTATTTTGTTGGATCCTCTCGTTCCCTTTCTAACTGGAATGTAGCTTTGCTGTTTTTGCTTTGTTTTTTTGCTTTTGCTCTATTGAAAAGTATTCGTTTTCCCACTTAGCGGTATTTTCTGGATCAAATGTTTCTCTTCGGAACCATTTGCTATTATTCCTTTCCATCAGAAGAGTAGCATCCACTGGTTATTCCTCTAGCTGGGGCTTCGAGAAGGAAAAAAGATTCATCTTAAATGAATACGATACGTTTAATGGTGGCCCTCAGCGAACTGAAATGGTAGAGTTCAGAATTGGTATCATAAGGGAGGAGGAACGCATGGTAGAAAGATGCCCGGGAGACATGAGGTGATTCTTCAGAACAGGCTAGTGGTCATTTTCCAGAGTGTTGTTGGCCACGCAGGAACATAGGTAGATATACTGATGTCGGTTGGAATCATGTCACTCTCAGTCGCCTCTGTTTGGAAAAGTGGTGTAATTGTAGGAATGTCCTTATTGCTTTGCGTTTGATACAAAATCTAGAACTGGGCCCACACAAAATAAATGTCTTCAGATTGAAGGTTCTGTGCACACAGGTTATTATATTCGGGGAGAAAAATGTTCTATTTGGTTTGTGAGTATTTTTAAAATTTAAGTTTTCATTCACTGGCTGATTCTCTGTGGAAAGCAGAAGTGAATGTTTTTTTCAATACATTTTGAGGAGAAGTACTTCATGAGTATTACATCTGCTTCCAATGTTGGAGGTGCCCAAGCTACACTACTGATTTAATGGAAGGTTCTAAGTATCAATTTTAACTCTTGGTGTACACCATTTTTGTCCGTCCAACAACAATAACTTACATTTACATCGCACCCTTCATTCAGGAGAGCATGTTGGAGCAAGAGCCCTACAGTGGTAGGGTTGGTCGCTGAGAAAGGGGTAGGAGAAACTGCTCAACTGTTCAACTGCTCAACGGGATTCGTGGAATTAGTGACCTCCTGCCATCTGTTTTTCTGAATCTGGCCTCACTCTTTTTGTTCACTGGTTCTCTGCAATGCCAGTTGTAAGAGCACATTTACAGCTTGCTTGCTGCTTCGATTAATCCACAGGTCTCTTGATTTATGCTCTGCATATCATTCCTAATCTGTTGGCATAGCTAATGGGTTAACTAGGTTTTAGCCATCCAAGGAATGTAAAGATTTATATTAATGTCTTACCCTTTTCCTTCCAGGGGCCTGAGACATTAGAAAAAAAGTCACTTCTCGAAAGGAAGTTAGAATTTCTACATTATTTTTTGAAAGCAAGGCTTTCATTGGGTGCCTGCCTGCAGTGACTCAACTTAGCCTGGTGTGTGCTGCAGGGTGGTTCAAGGACGTCTTCTGAGGGAAGTAGCCTGAACGTTTCGTATTGAATGGCACAGTAGAAAAATTCACCCGAGTGAAGGCTGAATGTAACAAGTGCAAACATGGCTACGCCGCGACAGTTTGGGAGATCCACCAGGGACATTGCCAATGTGATGCAGAAATTGCAAGGTAGGTTCAGTTATATTGTACATCCTTGTTTCCAGCTTACCTTATCTTAAATAAAAAGGAAGCTTCTTTTTGCTGTTTTGGCACTTTGGGCACCGTTTATATATTTCCATCTCTTACAATGAGTTCATATCCTGGAATAGTGTGTATGGACGCTAATATAAAAAAAGTATATGATGACACATATCCCTTAATTTGATATAACTCCTTTCACATCAGGAGGACGTAATTTGCTGCATTTTCCTTTTCTCATATTGATTGAGAAACTGTTGCACGTTTACACTGACATTAGAGTGACCTAACGATGCTTGAGGAAAATTTGCTTACTCTCTCCATCACAGCCTTTTTTTTTAAAAAAGCCTCTCAAGCCATTGTCACCCCAGTAGAAGATGAATAAATCCATAATCTAGATTTACATTGAAACTTGCGATGGCTTGTGCTGAAAGCTCTAGGTTGCAGGAATAGATAGTGTATCTTTCACAATTGGACTTGAATTGCCTGGATTGAATCACTGGCAATAGCCACAGCATTCATCTTGTTGCAATATTACCGAGTGAAGGACACACATGCATTGCTCAGAATAGATTTTGTGCCCAGAAGGTTTGCACTTTGCCTCCAACCTTGTTTGTTAAGGAAGCTAGAGAAGTGGCAAACTAGGAGGTGGCTTACTGAATAGTAAGCTTGAGTTTGAAAAAGATTGTTATTTGATTTCAAGGTGTTGCTTTGTCAACAGGAAATCTATTGTCTTACTTGAAGGATGATCTAATTTACCATTGAGGAATTTCACATATTCAGAACTTGTTTTTTTAATAAAAGCAAAACAAATTATACTGGTTCTCTTGCGACCCATCGTAGGCTAACAATTTGAATGATAACAATTTATACAATTTATACTGTAAAAACATTTTCCTTGTAAAATATCTCAAAGTGCCTTACAGCATGAGATTAGTTAGGGAATACAAGTCAGGTTAACTGGGAGAGATCCTATCCTGAATCTAATATCCCAAACAGCATGTATGCCACTGAGCACATGCTTTTAGATTAATAATAGAGAAGTACTGTATTTAGATATCTGCTGTAACTTTGAATAATGTGCCTAACTAGTTATTTTCTTCTTCCTAGAATGAGGTAAAGATATAATGCTAGATATGTCTCCATTTCCCCAAGATCAATTGGTTCACCAGGTTGAAGGTGCTTTAACACATTGCTCATTTCCAGCAGCAGTCCTGAATATTGAAGGCACTCAGTTTGTAGAATTGTTTATTTAAAAAAAAGCCAGCTTCCCTCTGTATGTGTAGAAGGAAGGGATTTGTATCAGAGAGGGAAATAAAAAGAGAGAGAGACAGAGTGTGTACATTGGGAAACTAGGCACTTGGATGGAAAACTATCCCTCTCACTATGTGCCAGGCTGTTTAAAACTATGAAAAATTATTTCACAGACTCTCCAAGGTGATGGATAAGCCATTGAGAGATCACAGCAGTTTTGCTGATTTGATTATTTCTATTAGCATTATCGATTGCCCTTGAGTACACAGCACTCCACAATAAGAGCACAGGAAGTGTTGTGTTATGACTATGAGGGAGAAGCTTCTGCCCATCGGATAAGTTCTGATAATGTTGAAGAACATCTTTATTGAGGATAGATTGCACTCTTGCTGTGTCTCCAAAACCACTTAACAGCATGGCAATATGCGTGGCTAATAATATACAATTCTTGTTTTTGATGCAGTGGCTTATCATGTTGTAGAGACGTCTCAAAGCGCTTCACAGGATATAATGTAAAGCATAGTGCCTGTGTGTATTTTGTGAGTGAAAACAACAGCCAATTTGTACACAGCAATGTCCCCACAAGCAGCCATTAAGTCAGTGACCAATTTAGGAGATCATTGGCCAGGACACTGGGAGAAACTCCCTTCTGTTTTGAAATGGTGCCATTGGAAACTATAACTTCCACCAGGTCAGGCAGACAGAACCTCGGTTTGACATCTTGTCTGAACGATGGTAGATCCATAATACAGCAGCTCCCAGCACTGCAGCCTAGTTTATGCGAGTTTACTACAACAACAACAAATTGCATTTATATAGCGCCCTCCACGTGGGGTAGCATCCAGGAGTTTAAAGCCCTAACATGGGGAATAAACTCACAGCCTTGGGAATTTCTCCCAGTATCCTGGCCAACAATCCCCAAAATAAAATTAGTGACTCACATAATGGCTTGGATGGAAAACTATTCCTCCAAGTGAGACATTGCTGTGAACAAATTGGCTACTGAATTAACCTACAAAATATATAGTCACTGCTCTTTGTGGTATAACCTGTGAAGCATGTCAAGATATCCTTCCGATGTGAAAGGTGGTATTATCAACTTTTTTTTATATATATCTATCCTGCTGTTGGGCCGAAGGGAATGTTGGTGCAATAGTGACCGTTATTAAACAGACTGAGTCAATAGTCCAGATATAGCTATCTCGCCCTTCCACTGCCCCAGGCACTTTCTGTGAAACCAATTGTAGAGGCTGTGTCAATTTTCCAATTTTGGTGGTGGTTTTTGTAGGAAGGAAACGTTTGCATGTTGCCTTCATAGATTTGCAGCAACATTCATGTTTTCCGATGTGAGGGGCACAATGTAACAACAAGTTGTTATTGTTTGTTGTGTTTGTTGTTGTTTGTTCTCTCTTGCTGCTTGTTTAGATGTGAAATGTTACTATCTGGACAGTGACCTCGTGAGCCCGAATCTGGCCAAAATATCAGGCTCTTGTTTCTGAGATGTGAAAGCAACTTGCAGTTCTTGAATCGTAAGATTCATGTTGTTGGGGCACCAACCAATTTGTTTGGCCCTTCAGGAAAGAATGGATCTGTTTAAAGAATTTAATTTATTGCTGTAAAATGTGCGCTAATCTCCAGGAAGCCGTATGGGAACTGTGTGAGCTTCATTACTTTCAAATGAAACAGGCTTACAATTCTGAACATGTAGAAAGGCAAAGTGTTGACCATTGTTGATACTGTACAGCCTATCCCCAAGGTCATTGGACCCAAGTAAACATTGTAGTCCACTTGAGACTTTGCAGCTGTGAGTAAAATATGTTCTGTAGTTTTTATTGCCAAAGAGCGTAAGCCCAATTCTGAGTTAAGATGCCTTCTAAAGATGATGGGGGTGAAAAATCAATGCTGCAGAAAGCAGTAATGATGTTGGATCCTCCCGCTGGGAAAATCGTCACCTGATGTAAGTGTTGCTTGTGACGGGTCTGCATCTCAGACTGAGATTTCAGCTAAAATGAGATGTCACATCAGAGCTGAAATCTCATGAGTTAGAGCGACATTCCAGCGCCTTGGGACGTGAAAGGCACTATACAGATGTAATTTGTTGTAGTTGAACAGCGGATCTCCTGCCCAAAATGGAGTTAAGGTCAAGAAATGGTAAGGGGTTAGTTGCATTACCGCACATGCATATTATATGCAGGAAGTGACACTGACTTCATCCCACAAATAAAGGAGAATAGCAGTACAATGAGGCTGCCCTGTAGCTTTTGAAAATAAAACACTCACACTAGATTCCTCTTACAGTATCTAACGTTGCACTGTCCAAAGGCTCGTAACTGTGGTGAGCAGTCCAGCTTCAGATTTAAATCTGCAACAGCACATTCTTTTGTGCATTAGTTGATGGAGAGTGTGGTGAGGCTTTCACAAGCTATTAATTTGCTATTTGACTAAATTCCTTTTGCTGGGAAAACTGCAAACAAAGCAGTGTGTTGTTACTAGGCAATGTTTCTAAAATTGATCAAAAGATCATGCATTCCTGTTAATAACTTTGTAAAGATTTTTTTCCCCCCTGAGAGATTATGATACAGCTGTAAATCTTTGATTTTGCTACCAACAACAACAACAACAAAATTACATTTATAGAGCGCCTTTCACGTCGGGAGTTCCAGAGTGTGGGAGCAGAGAGGCTGAAAGCCTGGCCACCGATGGTAGGGCAGGTCAGGCGAGAGACATGGGGAGACACCATTATACATCATCAATCTGTACTCACAAAATGATATAAAAGATCCTAAAGGGTAGGATAATGTGCTATGTTTTTCTATCAATGTGCTACAGAGTTAGTGAAATAATGCCATAATTTTGTCAATGTAGGAGATAATTGAGCTAAAAAGAATTGGAGCTTCCTCTTTGACCATGCCTTTGATCATTTTTTCCCCTCCCCGCCCAACTGGGCTCCCATCCCCAGTTCGGGTGCCGTGCCAGGACTGTTAAGTGCCTTGGGTCCCCTCCCGATATGAAAGCGCTATATGAATCTAAAATTGTATTGAATATACACTGATTTGGCCTGGGGTTCTGCTGGATCATACTGATCTGAAGGTTTTTTTTTTCCATTCAAGATTGAAAGAGGGAAAAAAAATATTCCTTTTCATTTTAATGTACTAACATTCCTCTCAGCATGTTTTAAATCTTTTAAATCTTTTGGCAGCATATAGTTTTGCTCCCTTGTTGAGGTACTACACAGATATAAAGATTTCTTTTGTTGCAGATTTTCTCTCAGGAAAGGGAAACTGAAAGAGAAATGAGTGTTGGCAGAAGGTGACTTTGATTAAATTGGTTTTGCAGCAGTTCCTGCTGGCAAGTAAATGGATATTTCTGGACAGAACCAGTATGTGACTAAATGACTCTTCTATTAATAACTTTCTTAATCCAAAAGTTTGTACCAAACATAAATGAATTAAAAATTTTGCTTTTAATTGCAGAGCAATTAGATCCTTACGCTCAGCATGTTCACCTACATAATACACAGTCACGATACTTTACATTAAATTTTGTGAAGCTCTTTGGGACACCTGCCGATGTGAAAGGTGCTATATCAAATGCAAAGATTATTATTTTTGTATTGCTATTCTTCCAGGCTTCGATGACTTTGCTGTCTGTACATATTTCATAATTGTACAACGATAACTTGCATTTCTATAGTGCCTTCACTTAGGATAACGTTTCAGAGCACTTTACAAAGATGG